GTGGACTGACGGAGAATAAATTTAGATTCATTTTGGTAAACGCGAGAGAAACAAGGGCAACAATTCCTCCTCTCCTCTCTTCTTTCCATCTATCAGGTTCAGACCTCGTCTGAGCGCTGGGGGTTAACGAAGAGTCGCTGCGTTCTGACTCCTCCTGATCCAGACAGAGTCTTGGATTGGATTTCTGTGGTAGTTGTTTGCACAAGAATCTCAGGCCCAACCTTCCCCTCTTCTTTTCTTTCCCTCGCTGCATACATGCGCGTGCATGTATCTGTAGAAGAGATGCTCGTCTTACTAGGAGCAGGAGGAAGATGGCCATATCAAATCATCAATCTTGAGTGACAGAGATTGAGAGAGACAAGTATAGATAACATGAGTAGACAATCGGTTGCAGTAGCAACGGGTGCTTCTCACTTCACCAACTGCCTCTTTCACAAGTTTATGGTATCGTATCATCTGCCTTTTCACTCTCCCTCTTTTACTCGCTACTTCTTTTTATCTCATCAAATACTGCTCCCTCTTCTTTATTTATTATTTGTTATTCTTTCAATCAATTGAACCCATCTTTATATTATGGATTTTACTGATCGAATTCCGTCCGGAAAGCTTCTCTTTCTTTTGTTTTTAATTTCTCTATCAGCTGTTAACACACACACACACACACACACACACACACACATGTATGTATGTATGATCACGATTGCACAGTGAATTGTTGGCCTTGTGTGATGGGATGTTTTGGGAATAAAACATTTTGATGATCAGTGATTGATTCATTGCAGTGTGGTGCCTGTCTCAATCCTTCATACTCCCCAAACTCTTCTGGTAAGGGCAAAAGTAAATCTTCCATTAAAAAATCGTCCCATGGCTTCCACTTGGTCGAGGGCAAGTCTGGTCATGCCATGGAAGATTACCATGTTGCTGAATACAGGAAAGAGAAGAATCATGAACTTGGTTTGTTTGCCATCTTTGATGGTCATCTTGGCAATCGTGTCCCTAGTTATTTGAAAGATCATCTTTTCAACAACATCCTTGACGAGGTCCATCCGTCCTTCCCTCCATCTGTCCCATGTCTATTGTTATTACCACCCCTTCCACTCTTATCTTTTTCCCTGTGATGATGCTTGCAGCCCAATTTCTGGAAAGATACTGCCGCTGCTATTAAGAACGCTTATCGCTCCACCAATCATTTCATTTTGGAGAACTCCATGGAATTAGGCCCGGGGGGCTCTACCGCCGTCACTGCAATTGTTATCGACGGCAAAGGCATATGGGTCGCAAACATTGGTGACTCTAGAGCTGTTGTGTGTGAAGGAGGCTTCGCCAATCAACTTACAGTGGACCATGAGCCACACACTGAAAGAAAAAGGATTGAGAAGCGGGGTGGCTTTGTCATAACCTTTCCTGGTAACATATCGCCATTTTTTTTTCACGTTTGATGGCTTTCAAGTCTCTGTCTTTTGGTGGAACTTTCTGCTGACTACTTTAGCTACTATAATGAAGACAGTTAATTGGCTTACCATTTCCATAGTATAAACTTATCACACCGTTCTAGTTTCTTTAAAGAATTGCTTTTCTGCTGTGATTCTTCTTACTGAACAAACTAATAATTACTTCAGGAGATGTACCCAGGGTTAATGGCCAACTTGCAGTTGCACGAGCTTTTGGGGATCAAAGCCTTAGAGCGCATTTAAGCTCAGAGCCTGATGTAAGATATGTGCCTATAGACTCAACTATGGACTTTGTTATCTTAGCAAGCGACGGATTGTGGAAGGTCAGTGATTAAAATACCTAAATAACTTGTAGTTTTTTAATTTTTTCATTGTCACGCATCCCACACCATAATTTTTTCTTCAAGCGAGTGTGAAATGATAATTCTTATTGTAACACTTGCTGTGATGTTGAACAAAACTCATGTTGGTTTTGCTCTAAGAAAAACACAGCAGCTAACACTTTCACTTTATTATTTTCATACGTTTTCTCATTCATAATTCTGAATGCTTAAGATGGCTATATATATAGCCTTAGACTTTTACTTTTATATAACTAAGATGAGAACTAATCAATTAGCTAACTCCTAACACTGATAAAATTCTAATAGATAATAATCTTAATATTGTAGAGTTCTAACATATTAGAACTCTTACAAACTCTAAATCCTAGGAACCTAAATCCTAGCTGACATTGAACTCTAATACTGATGTGTGCATCCTTGTGATAGCAACTGGATACGCTGTGCTTATTTAAGAATAAGATTGCCAATTTTAAGAAACTTATCTAGAAGCTTTTACCGTGTATTCTGACCATTTTAGTGTATTTTTGGAATTTCTTTCTGCATGCCGAGGGATGGGATTGATTTCAATTTGTAGTTGGGCTGCTTTTATTATTGAGATTATACATTGAGCATGAACTTGAGTCCTCAAAACCATTGTGCCCTTCTACTGAAATTCTTCTGTCCCTGATCTTTTCCCAGTTGTGAATGATGTAAGAGCCTAGTGTTTATTACTGTAAACTAATGAAAATTCACTTATGGTGGTAAGAAATACAGCAACTTGACTCCGACAACATATACCGCTTGCTTCATCTCTGTTATTGAACTGCTTGGCTGAAAATTATGAGCTAGTTAGTTGATGGTACGCCAGCATCTATATATAGATATTTGTTGTTGGATTGCAGAAGCATGTGCTGAATCACTCGTGTTTACTTTGGTTTCTGTTACGAGAGTCCTGGATTGCAATGGAACTGCAATACTTTATGTTCCTGAATTTACTCCACATAACGTCCATGATACTGAGTCATGCCACATTTAAGAGTAACTATTACTGTATATCCACTGGTTTGCTGTGATATTCTGCAGGTCATGAAGAATCAGGAGGCAGTTGATTTAGTGAAACCAATCAAGGATCCAAGAGCGGCAGCTAAGCGCTTGACAACTGAGGCACTGGCAAGAAAGAGTAAAGATGATATATCATGCATTGTGATCCGGTTTGGATGAACCAGTGAGAGAGCACATTGCCCCCACTTGCCAAGGCCGCTTGCTTTGTTCATGTCTTCTCTGTAAAATGGTCAGCTGATTGGGTGTGTCCGTAGGAAGCTTGGTTTGAGGCCTTTTTTGCTTGTGTTGTGTAGTAGTTTCGCTTTTAAAGAAAGGGAGTCAAGGTGGAAATGTGTGCATTTTTTTTACTGAGGAAAGATTTTCCTCATTGATCCATGAGCCACCCTCTACCTCCCTATACAGGGGGTGTGTGTGTCCACAGAGATGATTCATGGGGAGTGGCAAGCTTGTTTCGCTGGATTGATGATAGATAGAGAAACAAGGTCTTAGGTTTTTATTTAATTCTGTGTACATAACACAATTTTGGTGTGTGTCTTTGTTGCTGTGATGATAATAAATGCTTTGGTTTGGTATACATGCGATGTGTTTTGCCTCGAAAACAAAAGTACAGGCCTATGCTGTTTTGTTTTTGCCATTCTTGCAGCTTCATCGTTATACCGTTCTTTAGATTTACAGGAGCTTTCAGCTCTTCAGCAGCAGCTTTCTTGACTCGTTTTGTTGCCTTGATTTTTTTTTTTTAAATAAATTAAAACAACAATATATTATATTAATTTATACCAATTTAAATTAATATGCTAAATTTATAACCTGTATTATAAAATTATAATATTTCAATATAAAATAAATTTAAAAAAATTATAAAGTCAAATTTTCAATCAACTCAACCTTAAAAAATAAAATTAAAAAAATTAATAAAAATAAAAAAGTAAAAATAATACAAGTTAATTCGGGTTAACTTATTAAACCCATAATCTGGATTATAAAACTAAAATAACCTCATTAAAAATAAATCAAAATAATTTAAAATTTTTAATTTTGAATCGATTCAATACTGAAGTATTAAATTGAAAAAAATCAAAATAAAAAAAATAAATCAACCCGAGTCGACCAATAAAATTCATATGACTAATATAAATTTATAAATAATAAATAATAAAATCTAATTTTTAAACAACTCAATCTTAAAGAATAAAAAAAATAAAAATAAAAAACAAGTTAATTATACTAATTCACCGAACTCACACTACTAGTCAAGAAATTGAAATAATTACATAAAAACAAACTACAATAAATTAAAAATTAAATGATAAAAAATATGAATTTAGAAAAAAAAAAATAAGCACAAAAAATATTGCAATGAATAGTATATTATGAAATAGTGCACATTGAAAACATCATCTCTTTGGTTTTTTTGTTAATTAATATACTTTTACCATTAAAAAATTGAAAATAGAGCATTTGTAAAAATACATGCTAAAATGTTGTTATGAAGAAAAATATTATTTTAATTTTTTAAAAAAAAATTAAAGTGAGAAAATAGAAAAATTGAAATATTTTTTAATTTTAGAATTTTTTTTATTTTTTCAAATTTATAAGTGAGTTTGAAAAACATATTTTATAAGTTCCTATGGTTTATTTTTGTATAAATTTTATTATTTTTCAAATGAAAAAAGAAAAAACTAAAATAATGAATAATAAAATATTTTTATTTTATATACAAGTGCTTTTTATAAATATAAAATATTTAAATTAATTTCTTTTATAATATCATTTTTTAATTAGTGTCATAAATCTATTCTTTGTTATAAATATAATAAGAAATATTTCTTTGCTTTTTTATTTAACCAGAAGTAACCTTTCCATGATCATTATTAATTTAAACGAAATAAAATTAACATTTAACAAGTAAATTATCAAAGAAACTACTATAAATTATGATTTTGATTTTTTTTCTTAATAATTATAGAAAGACATTTCTTAAAAACAAATTCCAATGAAATTATCTTTCTCTATTCTTAACGGACATGTTTTCTGTTTTTTCCTTGAAAAAGAAAAACTACAAGAGAAAGAAAAATAATTTTAAACCTCACATTCAATGAAATGCAGGCATCTGGGTTTTTTATTTCCAAGAAAAGAATAAGAAAAAAAAAGGCCCATCATCTTCACCAGAACATAAATACTTCATAGTCTCTTGTGTTTTGAAGAATACAATCAAAGTAATCATCAGTTACTAATAGAGCAAGAAACTGCTGACAGCCCCAAAACCCTAAACCCTGCTAATATCCTATGATGCTATTATATGATCATGTAGCTCTGTTTTTACTTTACATTTTCAGATTCCCAAACAAAACAAGTACTGAACCCAGCTATGAAGCAACAAGTTTAAGCACTGAGTTGCGAACAATGCCTTGTACCGGAACATGGTAAGCCAGACAGCACGAGTAAGCACAAAAGTACTTGTACATGTTTCATAGGCTTGTACAAATAAGCACAAAAGTATAACCACTCTTCGAGAAATTTCCAAACAAAATATGAAGGGCGATGACAAACAGAAATTGTTCTCGATAATCCCCTGGAGGGGGCAAAAAATGTTACATAAGGTGCCGGGAGCCAAGCTCTGTCAACGTTGACAATGGTTGTTGGCTACAGAAAGACAATTTTTTTTTTTTTTTAATGATTAAACCATGAAAGCAAACACTGGTATTCCACCACCCAGATGTGACCCATGTACATAATTCTGCCAAGGAGTGACCAAGCAAGAACAAACATCAATCTAGACCGGTCAACAGAACAAGACCCTCTCCAATAATTTCAAGGCTAGGTGTCAGTTGATCATCTATTATCTTTTCAACGGATAAAACAATATCTGAGTATCAAAACATGATTAAGAACTTTCCTGAAGCCTGTATATTGTAATTTCCTGTTGCTTAAAATAGCGACGATCCTCTTCATCAACCAGAACAAGGTTCAAATAATACTTCACACTAAATTTGTTGTTAATGTTGCGATGTGTTGGTGTCAGTTCATAAGGGCTAAGAAACAATCTGATGGGAATTGATTCACCTGAAACAATATTCATATGCTTGTATGAGATTGCTTTGAAAAACACAAAAACAAGGATATCTCCCAACTCAAAGATCAGAAAGTCATCAAAATATATGTAAATTTGAAGGGGGGAAAAAAGATTATTCAAAAACTCAGATCGGTAATTTACTAGAAAAAGGTCAAAACATTGGTCAAAAGACTTTCAACTAACCCTTCACATAGATAATTTGTAAATCTAGTGTAGTAGTTTGCGCTACATTCATCATTCTGTCTCGGTGGCTATGTAGGTTAGATTACAAGAAATTTCAGGAAGAATGCTGAACATACCTCTGACAGGAGCTCCATCCATCAACTCGAATTTAGCTAACGTCTCTGTCTCAACATATGTATTGGCCCCTGATCCTGTTGATTCTCGACGCCTGATCTCAAGATCCATATTTTTTATCTTAATTCTTACTAGAAGAAAGTATATCTTTCCGATAATCACGTCTTTTAGATGATACCTGCATAATTTAATTTCCAACAAGTCAAAACATAGCAGAAATTTCAATCAAGTCTACAGCTAAATAATTTAGCTCCCAATGGTTTAGCCACATTCAACTGGAAAGGCTCCTTTGCTGATTAGAAGCCACAGTTCAACATAATCCAGCAACCACAGGAACAAGAATTTTCAAATTACAGATCTCATTATCCTGCTACACTTGGATTCCTCAAGCCTAAAGAAGATCATAACAAACAAAAAGAAATTGACAAAAAGCCTATTCATAGAGTCTTTCTTGTCTTACTTGCTTTTGTTGTATTCAAACTCAATGTGCAGGCAATCTTCAATGCCAACTTCCATCTGCACAGGTTGTTAGGAAGAACATAACGAGTTAGAATTACCAAAAGATTGCCAACCTTACAGTGAATTAGACATACAGGGCATAAAACTATCTCTTATTGTGTACAGTGGCTATTGCTAGCTTGCTGCTATTCATTACTTTGCACATTAAGGAGTTCCCCACTAAAACTACCAGAGCCTCACAAAGTGATGAGACAACACTCCAGCTGAGATGCCGGGAACATATAGTAGAATTTTTCGCTTACCTTTATGCTGTTGTTGATTGGTGGAGGGGGAGAATAGTTGCTAACCTGATACATAACAATTCAACAAAGGTAAACATAAGAAGTGTTGATAACAAAGGCAAGAGAACAATGTGCAAGAATTAACCCTGTACTGAATTAAACATGATGCAACTATTAGAAAACCATTTAGGTTAAAATATGTGAGAACAAACGTATCCATTCAGTTCCAAAAAATGCAGTCTGCTATACAGACAAGTTCATAAACTAACAAGATAATACAACTTGATTTGTCCTATTTGCAAAATACAAGCCAAAAAATATAAAAAATATACTGATAAGCATCAAACATGGTGTGCGTGTGCACATGAAAGAAAAGTGGTGAATATCTTAAAAATTACCATGAAGTCCTGGTATTCAATTATGCTACCTGCATAACCACGGGTGACAGTCACTTTCAGAACATACCTGTAAAAGGCAAATGCTATTGTGACATGAGTTAACTATTATAACATCATTTACCTATTCCAATTCATAAAATCTAGTTATTTTAGATTTCCATACTGAGTGCTATGCAAGTGATTATTCCTAATCCAATCTTCATCTACTGCTCCTTTGGCACTCCACATTTATCTCTCTTCCCTCTATACTATTGAGTGTATACACTATAAAAATGAACTAGTAATTGTGAGGGAAAAAAATCCCTTTGTACATTAAAACAGTATAGATGAACAATAGGATGAACAGGAAACAACAGCTATTACTGCACAGGCTGAACTTCAAAGACGACAAAAATTAACGGTAAAGAGAAATGAAAAGCCAACAGTGTGATAGAGATACCGTTACGATCAAGAAGCCAATGATGCAAAGATACAAGATTGTGATGACATGTTCAATTGCTTTTGGCTTCAATAGTAGAGATAAGTAATCAATTGCAGCCTTTTATTGTTAAATAAAGTCATGCTACATATGGATTTGAGCCTTGATATATAAAACAATGCAAGGAGCTGCGTGCAATTATCACTAATTCCATATTTAATTTTCAAAAAAGGACAAGTGCAATTTGATTAGGAAAACAGCAATTCAACCTCCATGAGAGGGGCACAGAATGCATCAAGGAGGGAATCTAAAACCACTTTCAAAACTGCTTACATTGAAGTGAAAATGATTTGAGAAGTAAAACTAACAGCAGATTGTCCACAAAACACCCCTTGAAATAAACAACAGAAAGGATACGAAGCAAATATGGAACTACCATATTTTAAGACTACATAAGTGGCATACCTGAGCCTCACATTCACCCCATTATATGTCTCATACGGCATTTCAACTGTGGAAAACTCAAACGGATACGTCTTTCGTTCATATATTTCTCCAGGAACATCCAATTCACGTACTGCAAGAAAGAGAAGCCAGAATCATGTCTGAAATCAAATCAATTATTGTGTGGGTACAAATATGTCTGTTTAAAAGGTCTTGAGCAGAGAGCAATGGGAGGTACAAGCAATCAGATAGCACTGATAATTAATAACACAATTGTTGATAGCAAATAAAAGTATGCAAGAGTACATGAAAATTTTAGAAATTGCTTAAAAGAACATGCATGGTATATACTTTTTTTCTAATGTTTATAAAACAAGGAGTAAAGAATTGATAGCTTAGTCAGGAACAGATTTCTCCAGAAAATAACACGGCACGTGTTTGGAACACTGAACCAGTATAAGTCCAACCTTTTTATTCAGAAGTTAAATTGGAAGCCCAGAACATTGATCATTTTGCTTCCTCTTCAGTGACCAGTTTCATCACTGGTCAAAACAATTCACCAAGCATTTTATCAGGAAGGACTAGAATGGTAACCTAAACCAAATTAAAGGGTTTGCTGGTTTTCAAGCAGGCCACCTCATCCAATCTGGGTTTCAAAATTATTGCAATAAACAAAATAGACTTCCACATACTAAAAAGGGACCATTTCTAGAAAAATCTAAAACCAAGGCAATAAATAACATGTATAGTATACTCACCAAGGGATGCGAAGTCATAAAAATTGCTTCTATCGAAATACATCTCTGTGAAGTAGAACAAAAAGTTCCTTAAATCTTAGGAAAGCAATTGAAGGACAACTAACACAAGGTAAAATGCACATGGTACAAAATAATCCAATTCCAATTAACTAGCAAACAGAACAGTTCAAATTCACAGTAGGAGTGATAGCAAAACTCATAAAACTAACTGATGGGTATTTTCAAAAGAAGCAAAGTAGTAGCTATGTATAATAATTATTTGCACAGCTAGCATTACAAACTTATTCAGCACGATCTTCCATGGGTTAAATTCCAGCTTTTATATTTTTACTTAGCAAAGATACATTTAAAGACAGGTTTAGGCTTTGTATGATGCCTATGCTGAAACCACTGTTATACAATCCTTAGTTTATAAGCCTGGAGTGTTAACAAAACAGCAGCGAGGCCAATCCTACGGGAAAAATATTTAATAATTTTGAACTGACCATTAAAAAAAGAAAGAAATATTTGAACTTGGGACTGAACTGCCACACGTGAAAGATAGCAATCATCGAAACAAGAGGGGTAAGTTTCACCAAAGAACGGGTTGCAAGAGCAACCATTTTCCTTTTCTTTTCTTTCTTTTTTAAAAAAGAGGACTAACCAATTTGGCCAAGAAGTTCAACTTTAACACCAATGTGATCGACCTTTTTCCCTTGCAGTGGCTCTATAGAAATCTGAACACGTCATCACTCAGCAAAGCAAATGGAATGGAAATAAATGAAGAAGCCACTAAACGTAAGCAAGCATTCGAAGATACAAACATAAAAAATAAAGAATCCAAAGCAGAGCACCTTTCCAGCAATGTTTTCTTGGCTATGGCAGAGCGGAACCATCAACGTTTGGCCATTCTCCTTTTTCATCGGAACCTACGCCGGCAGGGAGTCGACAATTGCAAACAATGATGAATTGATGGATCCAACCAACTTAATTAAAACATGAGAACATACATAATTAAGGAGGAGAAACCTGCTTGCGATTTTTTGCATCGGAAAAGGTGATGGAGATATTACATGAAGGCTTGAAAGCTCCAATTAGGTAATTCTGATCCATCCATTTGCCAGTATACTCTCAAATCTCATCACCAAACACACACCAAAAATACGAAAATGATAGTAATTTAATGAAGGAGGAGGAAAGAAAGAAGATACCATTCCGCTGAATTAAATTAAATTCTTCGAATCCAATCACAAGGACCTGCAGCCGATCAAGATCGCAAAAAAAACGACATAAAAGGAAGCACTCGTTAAGTAGTCAGCCGCAGCTTACTTCTGATGAGATGAAATGAAATGAAACCTGACTCACCGAGTGAGAAAGAGCGAGTCAGTGATCGATGATGGTTGAGTAAATAGAATGAGAATTTAATTCGGATTCTCTTCTCTAAGCAAACCATGAAGTTTCCTTTCTGTCTATTGCGTTCGCACGTACATTAATTTCAAATCGGTCCCCGTAACTAGGAATATTTTGGTTACAGCATCCAAAGGATATTTGAGATTCAATTTAGCCCTTCTATTCTATTCCTGGCATGTCAAAGGCACAGCCCGTTTTCATATTTGGGAAAGGCCCCCGCCTGGTATGGGCCATTTGATTCAGGCTCTGATATGATGGGCATTACGCAGATCCTAGTTATTCTGTTCCTATTTTGCACTGTTATTTTTTATTTAAAAATATATTTAAAAAAAAAAAATTATTTTTGACATAAATATATTTAAAAAATAATTTTAAATAAAAAATAAAATTTTAGACAAAAAAAAAAGTCCCATCCATCCATGCCAGCTCATGAAAATCGTATCATATCAATTTATTGCTATTATATGTGTTTTCTTTCCTTTTATCCTCGTTGAAAGGGTTTTACTACTATGCTAAAAAGAATCATATGATCCATGAGAAGTTTAATTTGTCAATTAAAGAGGCTTAGCATGATTTTATACTATTTATTTAATATGCTTATTTATTTATGCTTAGTAAAAATGCTCCAAGACAATTTAATTATTTTTATTTTTAAATCTTTTTTGGTTGAGTTGTACTTTCAGTTTTTAGTGTAAATTATGGAATGTTAAAGATTTTAATGACTTTATGTATTAGATATGAAGTTTAAATCATGTTCCTGGCTATGATTTATAGATGGAGGTATTTTTATTTAATTTAAACTTTAAAATCTGTTTTTTTTAATATATATTTTAATTCGAGATAAAACTAAAATATCTTTACTATCAGTATTTATCCGTGCTCTGCAATCTCTCTCAGCTGCTAGCCTAGAACAAGAAGAGAAGACGAGAGCCAATGCAATGCTACGGACAGCGGCTTACTGTTTGACTGATCACAATTGGCTTAGTATTGGCTGATCACAAGGTCTAGGGAGCTGAGTGAGAATGCTAGATGGAGATGGGTGGTAAGGCTTCAAGCTCCAGAAAAGATCAAGTTTTTTGTTTGGCTAATGTTCCACATTAATAGCTTACTGACCAATATCTTGCGATTCCATCGTAAGCTTACAGCGGATGCAAGATGTGGTAGATGTCACTTGGCGGAGGAGGAGGAGGATATAGTTCATTGCTTGAGGGACTGTCCGATGGCTAAGTTGATATGGGATAGATTGGGATTTGGAAATGCATGCTTCAGGCTTTAATTGTACTGATACAAGAAAGTGGATCATTTCCTTTGCTTCTGCAGACAGAAGTACTCATTTATTCCTAGTTGCACTGTGGTGGACATGGAGACAACGAAACATGGTAGTTCTTGGTGGGGATTACGTACGTAGGTGATGGCTGGTTATGAATCAGGAGAATATACAGGTTGGTAGATGATTGTGAGATGTCTTGGGGAAAGTGTCTTGTAGAAGGTGCTAATCTGACTCACGTTTCATGGCAGAGACCGCCACAAGAGTTTGTCAAGCTGGATGTGGAGGGTAGTTCCATTGGCAATCCTGGTAGAATTGGATTTGGCGGGCTTTATACGGTCTTCAAAAGGGGCTTTCTTAATGGGTTTTACTGGATTTGGATGAATTGGATGTAACCTTCTTCCAGTGTTGTTAGCTTTAATACAAAGGCTACAACTAGCACGAGGTCGGGGTTAAGACAGATTCTTTGTAATTCTGACTCCAAAGATGTTATTAGGTTGCTGTCTGCAGGTTATGCCAAGTATCACAAGTATGGAGTTGACATCAGGGAGCTGCTTTCAAGGAACTGGGTGGTTCAGATTTCCCATACATACAGGGAAGCTAATACTTCTATGGCTAAGTCTACTGCAAGAGGAACAACGGGTTGACTCCTTGCTGATTTTTAATGGGGTCATCTGTGCTGTAGAGTTAGCTAGTTTTTCTTTTTCTTGTCGCCGTACCAACAAAAAGAAAAAAAATCAGAGGCACACTGCTATCATATGGACTTTATAGCTTCTGTCTGAATAGGGCAGAGGAGGGGGTGTTGGTGAACCCAAACTCCCTCCCTCCGCCATCGAATTGACAGCTAGCTGCACAACCAGTTCACTGCATTATTACGATGGCATACCATACCCGTACTCATAAATAAATAAAGAAGAGATACGGGGGCTATTTATTTATACAATGGATTAGATTGTACTGATGTGATGGCTATAGATTGATCAACTTGAAATTTCTTCTTTAGAAAATTAAAAACAAAATTACAAAAGAATTATAACTCTATATTTATACACGTGGTTTCGCAAAAACACACAATTAATGTTGTCGTGGGAGTGGAACCGAAGCAATGGATCAACGCCAACGTTGTAGACGTACGCCACAGAATATTAATTTCTCATCTCTTCTCACGTCTTTATTCTCATGACCAGTGTCATCCACCTGCCACTTAGTAGTAGGGAATTACTGAGGGAAGGAGGAGATGCGTACGATACTCCTATAATCGGTGGAAGTGGAGTGGTCTCTATTACTGCTGGTGGCGGTGGCGGTGGCGGTGGGGACGCCGTTGGCGATAGTGAGGGTGGTGGAGGTGATTGTGGGTGTTGATAGCTCGGCGTGGGTGATGGTAGCGGCGGTGACTGCGGGTGATGATAGCTTGGCGTCGGTGAAGGTGGTCGAGGTGATTGTGAGTGCTGATAGCTTGGCGCAGGTGATGGTGGGGGTGGTGATTCTGGGATTATACACCCAATTGATGGTGGAGGTGGACTAAAAGCTGTTTTGGGTGGGTAATGCTCTACTGGTGTTGGAACGGGAACCGCAGACTGGGTTGGAGGAGGGGGTGGAGAATGTGCGTGTTCATTTGTTGGTGGAGGGGGGTGGGGGTGGAGAGTAAGTGTGGTAGCTTGGTGATGGAACTTCAGCAGACTGCGTTGGTGGCGTTGGTGTTTTGTATTGGTAGGGTGGTGGGGGCGGTGGGGGTTTATATTTAGGCACCTGAGGCCTGTTTACACTCGATGGTGGAGGTGGTGGTACATGGCTAGGTGTGCCTGGTGAAACCTTTTTGATAGGTGGCCGTGGTGCATAATGAGAACGGTAATGGTTAGGTGGAGGAGGAGAAGGTGGCGGCGGCGGTATATGGTGATAAGTTGGTGGCTGTTGTTCAACAGGCGGGGGCGGGGGCGGCGTTGGTGGTGGAAGGTGTGTTCTGGGTGATGCTTTTTTAGGGGGCGCTGGTGGGGATGCAAAATGTGGAGATGGTGGTGGATGGAAAGACCTTGTGGGAGGTGGTGGTGGGTGAGATCTGGTGGAAGGTGAAGACTTGGAAGTGGGAGGTGGTGGTGATGCAACAAATGGCTTTCTCATGGGTGCAGGATTTGGTGCTGGCCTTCCAACTGGAATACCTCTCGTCTGTGGTGGTGGTGTTAATGGAGAGCCATTTTCGCCACCTCGACCACCGCCACCGTATTTGAACTTGCTGCAGTCAACAGGGCGTGCAGCTTCAGAAGAACATTGTTTAGCTGATCTCTGATTCATCTTGCCGGGAATGCAATTCTGGGTACCATTAGAGACTACTCCAATAGCAGCACAGCTTGGAGCTTCGCCGGTGAAATAGTTGAAAGAGTAGGTAAAATTTTGCAAATTAGGCAGCTGGCAAACAATATCAGGAACAACACCTGTGAAACTGTTGTGTGCAATGTCGAGTTGCTCGACACTCTTCATGTTTCCAATGCTGGAAGGTAGAGCGCCTTGCAGATGATTGAAGCTCACGTCAAACACAGTTACTTCCTTGAGCATACCGATCCGGGGAGGCAAACACCCAGTGAGATTGTCATTCATGAGAATGATTTCGTTTAGGGTTTTGCCCATCTTCCCAATGTTGTCTGGAATACACCAACCAAGGTTGTTGTTTGCGAGGACAACAACAGAAACAGGAGAGTTTCCAACATTCTCCGGGATGCCAAATCGGAACCTATTGTCATTCAAGAAGATAGCATCAAGGGGCTTGTCAAAGAGCTGGGAGGGCACAAAACCTTCAAACTCGTTGAAGCGCAGATCCAAGTACTTGAGGGAAGGCAAGGAGAGCACAACCTTGGGAAATTTACCCACGAACCGATTGTTGCTCAGGTCCAGCTCATTGAGCAGCTTCATTTTGCGGAAACTACTGGGCACGACCCCACAGAATCTGTTGGAGTTGATATGGAGGAGCGCCAGATCGGTGATAAGGCCTGGCTCGGTAGGAAGATAGCCAGCAATGTCAGCATGGTTGAGGTCAATGCCAGCCACCACCCTGATTTTCTTGTTTTTGGGGGATGGAGCACAGAAGACTCCCATGTAAGAACACACGTCTGAGCCATTCCAATTGGCTGTGAAGTTGAATGGGTCTGAAAAGATGGCTTGCTTCCATGATTGCAAGGCAATGTAGGCTCAGCGGATCCGAGGGTTCTCGAACTTGAGGGTTGGATCTGCGTCCATATCATGATCTCCATCTTCATGGGCCGCAGAGGAGATCTGGAGGAGGAAAGAGGGAGTGGAAACAAGCAAGAAAAGAATCAAGAAGGAGCGAGGAGGAGGAGGAGGAGGAGGCATTGATGATTGCTTGTATGAAGAGAAGCAAGTCACATGAAGGAGAGAGGTGGTGTGATATGGGGGATATACGCTAGCTGGACTGCTCGCCTATTCCCATCTCCCTACGCTTTGCTTCGCAAGAGAGTATAATATTTGATTTTGTTTTTTGAAAATATTTTGATTATTTTCTCTCCTTTTATTTTAGTTATTACCTGTCACCCTGCTTTTTAAGTTCAATCGAGGTTAGCAGCTGGGGTTATCTGAGACTAGTAATTTGAAATGACAACATGCTGGCACGTCTGCACCAAAGAAACAGGGTTGAGAAACGAGAAATGTTATTGGGGGTGGGAATGGAGACCCATGGAAATTCCAACCCTAGGTAGTGCCTTTGCCCGTGAGTTGACGGTGTTATTGTCATTGACCTCCAAGTAGAGCCGGAGAGGACGTGTCTGCCACCGTCCCACTAACCAAAACGACCAAGCAATCTAGTTGACTGCTCCTTTTCTTTTCGCAAAAAGAAGGGAGGTCCAAAAAGGGTCGTTACTCAGTTCCATAGCTGTTCTCCTTTGTGTTTTTTTTTTTTTTGTTAAAAAAAGTTTTTTTTTCCGTAAACTTAAAAATTCAGAGAAATGGTACAGCTTAAAATTTTTTGATGAGACGATATAATTTGATTTTTTTTTTATGCTCATGAAAGGAAATATTAATTAAATATTTTATTTTTAAAACATGATAATTTAAAATTTATTTATCTTTTAATCTAATATTAATATTTTATTAATATTATTAGTGTGTTTGTGTTTATATATTATAGTTGAAGTATAGTTGAAGTTAAGGTTGGATACAATTTAATTATGCGTAAAATGCACCCATATAAGTTAGTTTTTGTTAGTTTTTATTTTTAAGTTCTTTTATGGTTCATTTACAATTTTTGATTTCAATCTCTAAAACAAACATATTCTATGTTGGTTTCTTGATATAGGAGTTATATACTATTTTCATAATAATGATAAAAAAAAAAAACAAAGTTCATATTTTAACTTCAAATAATTAAATGTTTATTGCACTCAATTTAAAATCTTTGGAGAAATATTAAATTTTAAAAAAAATATTAAGTTTTGATGATATCATGATAGAAGACAAAACTACTTAAAGAGGAGTAAAAGCTAGAGACAAACATGCTACTAATAAATCCAAATAATTTAGTAAATGCGGTTAGATAAATAAGTTATATTTATATATTTTAGAATTACTTAAATAATATATTATTAAATTATTTTATATTTATTTTGTTGGTTACTTATGATTATGAAATATATTAAGTTCAATTAGAATTTATTATTTATATATTTTATAGTTTTTTGCAAGTTTATTTTTAAACAAAATAAAATTTTAGGTACAATTCTACATAATATAATAAAAGAAAGTTTTTCCAAATTTTTATAAAAGTATAAATATTTTAACTATATAAAATAATAAAATAAATAAAAAATATTTTTAATAAATGTTTTTAGCTTGAAACATGAAAATGATTCAAAATCTTATAATAGTTAAAATCATCCGTAATTTTATTAAATATTCAGTTATTTCTCAAAATAATTTTTTTAAAAATATTACGGTTTAAAACCGTTACATTAATTATCACATTTAAGAAGTATGGTATTTTCAAACCCGTTACGTCACTACAAATTTCTCATCATGTACTATTTTGGTATTTAATTAAATTTTAGCTGGTAATTACCTAATTTATCGTCGATGAAAACATGGGACAAGCTATCTAGCTAGTTACAGCCGACAGCAACAGCACATGCATTAGACATTGGTCAGCAATCAGCATGGCTCCATCCTTGGCCAAGAGATCAGTTTGCCTGGTTACTCTTTCTTGAAAAAACACAAGAAAAAGTCATCGACATGACGAGCATGAACAGAACCCCTTTCTAAGTAGAGAACTGCATGAGAGACATGGGACATCACACTGCATCGAGAACATGATGATGTATGCCCTGGCGGACCCTACCCAGGAACGGGATTAGAAATTAATGTTTCTTCGCTTGTCTACCGAGGAGGAAGGTTTAAAATATTTAATTATCATTGAATTACATGAGAGGGAGCAGAGTTTTATGATTGGTAAGTGAAGGAGACATGGGTCCTGAAAAATACAATGGTGGAGCTAGGCCCGGGGGGAGGGAAAGGCTTAATATGGTTACTTGCTTACTTTGCAAAGAAAACTTGAAATTGAAAACGCGTTGCGGTGGAGAATCATTCATCATTTGTGATGTGATGTTGTTTAGCTAAGCAAAGCAGTCGGTCCTGCCTTCTTTCCATGTAACTTTGCTCGTTTTCTCCCATCAACGAATGCAGATCACGGTCAAGGTTTAAGAAAGCACAGTCAGTCACACGTGTGGTGCAGGTTTACAGTTGCCGACTGCTCTTCCCTTTTTTTTCCCAGACTGTTTCTCTTCTGCATTGGACACCAGTTATAAAACCTAGTAAACTTAACAGTCTATTGAGATGAAATTTGATGTAGATTGGGTTTCACTACAAGCATTTTTTTTTAATTGAATCGGCATCATTTTAAGGATTTTTTCTTCCAAAACAATGTTATTTTAGATGTTTAATCAAAGCTTGGATTTATCTAACTTGCAATCCAATTTTTGAGTTTGGGCCAACATTCAATTGTATCTTATTAGTATGCTGCTATCTTCTACTAATTTCGGAGTTTCCTTCTTAATTTGCATAGGAAAGAATCACTATTATTCTCCTTCTTAATGCTGGGCTGGGAACAAGTAAGATACCATGGTAAAAGCTCACATCACACCACCAGGATGCAATTGACCCAACTAGTGAAACCACATTTCTTTTCAAGAACACAAATCCCAGCAACAAGAATGTTGGAAAACTGATGCAGAATGTGTTCCCCCTTCTCCTCTTGCCAAATACTGGTTATCCATCTCTCTAATACAAGTATTAGCAATGTGCTTGTGTAGCTCGTCAATCAACTTCCCTTACTTTTTCTGTGCCCTGTAAAATATTTTCTGGAAGACATGTTCCTCTGGAGGTGCTTCTTCTGGAATCTGGGTGTGAACAAGGAACAGACCAATAAGACTCGCTAAGACTAGAAATCAAGGATAGGATCACAAAGGCCTAAGTCACAGTTGCAGTGCTGGCATTTCCAGCTCCTTCCATATTTTTGTTTCTAGGATTTTACTGGCTACTAAAAACAAATCTCTCAATTCATAAACCTGGCTTGGAAAGCATATCTAATTGCAAGTCCCATATAAGAGAAGCACGAATCTCGTAACTCTCCAGGAAGCCATCTTTCTTTTAACCAGATGCTTGCATCCCCTGAAACAGTTTCCCTTTGCACCATATTTCTGAAGGATTATAAAAGGCAACCAAAAGTTAGTATCAGGCATGCAAGTATCTAACATCTGCTAGCATATAAACAAGGATCATTCTGTTATGTGTGATTTCATACCATGTGATGGTGATATCATCACATTAATTAAAAAAATAGTTGTATCTCTTGAAAAAAAAAAAACATAAGCTAACTATTCATAAGTTATTCTTGATGTTATTTATGTTGTAGCCCTTAGTTGAATTTAAGGAAGAACAATTATGAACCTATTATTTGTTGATAGTAGAAGGTTTTAAGTGGACTATAGTTCCGTGATTTTTCCAGTATCGGGTTTTCCACGTAAAAGTCTTGGTGTTGATTTGTGTGATTATTGCATTATTTTTGTTGATTGTTTAATCTTGATTTTAATTGCATAAAGAAGGAAAAGGATTGGGACTTGTGAATTGTAAATTGTATTCCACTGAATTGATCTAGGTAAATTGGTGTCCGGTTGTTCCTAGTTTTCCCAACAAAGTGGTATCAGAGCATTGATTGTGTAGATTGAATTTTTTGTGCGGTTAAAATGAAAAGGGAAGATTTGGGCATGATAAAGCTCACTTCCTCAAATTATTTTCTATGGAAAACAATGATGGAGGATCACTTATATTGCAATGATTTGACTTTGCTGATTGAATGTAAAGGAATAAAACCTGATAAAATGGATGATGTAAAATGGAATGGGCTTAATAGAAAGGCTACTACTAATGTTAGAAAATGGATATATTCTAAGTCCATTAATCATATTTCTCAAGAACATGACTGCTATACAGTTTGGAAAGTGTTAGAAGAAACATTTGTTAAAGAGAGTGCATAAAATAAGGTTTTTGTAATTAGAGACCTTGTGAATTTGAAGTATAGAGATGGTGAAGATGCTTTAGTGCATATAAATGTATTCCAGGGGTTCTTGAATTAGCTGTCATTGATGAATCTTGAGTTAGCCGATGAAATACAAGCACTAATCTTATTGAGTTCATTGCCAGATAGTTGGGAGACTTTGGTGATGTCACTTAACAATTCTACTCTGAATGGAAAGATCACTTTGAAAATAGTGAAGGATTGTATTCTCAATGAAGAGAAGAGAAGGAAAGGGATAAACACTTTTGAGTTTCATGCACTTGTTACAGAAAGTCGAGGGAGAAGTCCAAGCAGGTTCTCTCACGACAAACAAGATAAAGAATCTAGCAATAGAAAAGACAAATGAAAGCCAAAAGGAAGATCTCAATCAATGAAGGATTTTAAGTGTTATTATTGTGACAAATCTAAGCATATGCAAAAAGATTACAGAAAATATAAAAAAGATATAAAGGGTAGAGATGAAAACAAGAATAAAGAGAATGATACAGTTGTAGTTGTATTTAATTGTGATATTGCCATTATTTATGATGATGGTTGTGTTAATCTTGCATATCAAAATACCACCTAGGTTGCAGATTCAACAGCTTCTTACCATGTTATACCCGACATGATTTTTACACATCCTACACTGCTGGTGACTTTGGTCAAGTTAGGATGGGAAATCAAGGGATGGCTAGTGTTGTGGGCATTGGAGACATTTGTTTGGAAACTAATACTAGGTGCAAGTTGCTACTCAAAGATGTTAGGCATGTGTCTGATATGCGCCCACACT